GTTGATGACTTGTTTAGATACTTTATGTTCCACTGATATAACGGTTCAAGTTTATGGTCTCCGATAATCATTAGGTATGAGGGTCAGATACACTTCATCTGTTTCTCACTACTAACGCATTTTCAGTGCCCTACTCTTGCATGCAACTCTTTGTTTTGTTCTCAAGAAGTATTGAGCTTCTTCACCAGTTATACAACGAATTACTGGTGAGGCAAGTGGTGATCATGTGTGTATCATCCTTCGGTATACTGGTTTTTTTTTTTGTCTGAATATCATCGGACATTGGTATTTATAATCATGGATACCATTGGGATTTCTCTATTTGTCCTTGAGATCTGTATAAAGTAATGTTACGTTTGTTCGCATTATCAAAGTCCTTACATGACTGGTGAATTTGTTCTCGACTTATATAACAATAATTTTGTGTAATATTTTGCAGGCAGACGTATTAAAGGGGATTGATCAGAAATACACAATACATGTATAAAGTAACTTGTAAGTCCCTTAATATTCCCTATTATGTGAGAGAATTTTTTGATTATATATTTTTATGTTTGCTACCAATTTTTTTAGTGGAGACTCTAGCGAGTTAAAGTGAATTTTTTAATTAATGAAGATATTCGTCTTCTGCATTTTGTACAATTTTTATTTATCACTTATTCCATATTTTCAATTACAAGTTATACTTTACGACACATAAACGGATTTTCTACTTGAGAATTCTTTTTTGTCCCAGGCCAGCTGTAATTCTGGTTTCTCAGTTGAGTTCTAGAATGCTGATAAGGTTAAGTAGGGATTAGAATTTGTCTGTTTTTATTGTGTATTTTTTATTGAACAGTAGTGTACATCCATGTCTGTGGCACCGACTGGCTTAGAGTGAATGCGTTGCTTCGTTGCGTCAAGCCTCGCTCGATCTTAGACTCCTGGGCTCAACGTAACTCTCTTGCCTCACCTCCTTTAAGAGTTAAGGGATTAAGTAAATATTATGTGTTATTTGTATATATTATGAATAGAAGAAATAGATTAAATGGTAATGGAGGATATGGGGGATGGGCAGGGGGACATGAGTAAGCTATATCATTTATAGACTAGGTAGTTTCGTTATCAGATGATTGAGAGTTTCTAAGGTTTCGCGTAGCTTGCATTGAGGACCTACCAGCACATGTACACCCTTATTTATAAGTTTGTATGCCGCCGTTTTCTTTTTATGGTATTTTACATCACATAAATAATTAGCCTTAATATTTTACGTTTAGGTTAAGACATAGTACTGCAGATATCACATTTTGCCTTTCAGTAAAATTTTACTAGTTAGATGCCGGCGGACTCGTGCATAGGTTGCACATTATGGTTGAGATACCATCTCATGGATCACGTTCATAATTGGAAGTGAAGTTCAATGGATATTTTATCCTGAATCATGTGATCTCGGCCTTCCCATGAGTGCACAGATATACTCGACTGCGCGCGCATGACTAGCCCTGGCTGTCAAATAAGATTTATTAATGTGATTGCTTTCGAGTCATATTTTAAGTTGACAGATCACTGTGATTGTATATGTTTGGATTAGATACTTTTTGTATTGTGTTTCGTCTATATTCAGCATTATAATAAGAGGATATTTTTAGCTATCTTGCAGAAGCGAATAATATAGTGGTTTATTGGCTATTCTATTACCATAGAGAACAGATTAGAAGTATCCTTCTAGTCAATCATACTTCCTTTCAAATAGAGTTGCTCAGAAGTAGGTATGTCTGTCCGAAGACTAAGATAATTAATTCATAAGCTTGCTAAAATGTTTATGTGAGTTGTTGTGTGATAAAAGTCCAACTAAGAATATTCCATGCAGTTATATTTTTCAAGGTAAAATAGTTATATATGTTATATTCTCTCGTCTAGGTCAGATGATATTGTACTTAACACCAATGCC